GATCTTTCAGGAAGAACAGTCATTCTTCATACCCTCAACATTATGTTTAAAGATTTTAGCACTACATATTAGGCCATCCACAAACAGGGAGGGAAACAGATGATCCCCAAGCTTGGAGTAGTATCAGGAGAACATAGTAGCTCCTCAGAACACAGAATTTAGTCAGCCATAATTTATTTCTTTATTAGACTTTTTAGTCGCGGTTCACGCAAAGGGTCTTATGGTGACTTACATCATTAAAACCAATAAGGTGGATTGTAAAATTAGTCTGAATGAAGACATTTGGGAGAAAATGTGGGCATCTATGGATTATAATTTTTCTGTCCTTTTAATTGTTGGAAGCAATGTGGGCACATTGGATCATATATGCACTGTTGGTTGTATTGCCCCAAAATAAAACAATTCTGGGAAATGATTATGCAAAAAAATGTCTTTGATTACAGGATACTCCCTTGAACTAACTCCTGAATCTCTATTTTTGAATTATGATAAACAGAATTCAACATAGGATATTCACATAGGATACTAATTGTTAATTTATTGACTATAGCTAAAACAACTATTGGTCATTATTGGAAGAACCCAGCAGCTCCCCCAATATCTTTATGGCATTAAAAACTCTGGGAACACTATACGATGGCAAAGATAATGGATTCTTTACAAATGTTTAGGTATACACAACTAAGAGTTTGAAAGTGTTTGGTATCCTATTTTAGACTATTTAGAACAGCAAGGTGAAATTTATCTGAATACTTGAAAACTTTTTCGATATTTGTGAATTAGCTATCTAGTACTTACAATTATCCAGGAAAGATGTATGCAAAACTCTAGGAATATTATATGAATAGTACATCTTATGTTTTTACCATCCAAGAACTATAGATACTGATATATAGGCTTGGGTAAATGGTAAAGTATGCAGAGGAAAAATGCTGGCTTGTAGTTTGTAAATTTTTAATGTAACACTTTTTAATGTTATATTTATATTGTATATGTACATGTATACATTTGATATTTTTGGGATTTATTAAAAATTTTAAAAAACAATAATGTAAAAACAACATAAAAGAAGTAACAAATAAAATATTAACATTAAAATATTAAAGTATTACAACATTAAAATATGTGGCTGTCACCATACCACTATTAAGACAGCCCAAACATGTGGTTACTCTCCAAAGGCCAACCTAAATAATTCAGCTTTGCATGCCCTGCAAAAACTTAACAATTCTTGCAGGGTACGGGTGTCATCTGAGAGTGCATTCCACAGGGTAGTGGCCACAACTGAGAAGGCCCTTCCCCTGGTGACAGTTAACTGAGCCATCCTGGGGCCAGGCACCTGCAAGAGGCCCCTAAACGATGACCAAAGGGAGCACGGGGGAATTGTAACGGGAAAGGTGGTCCCGTAGGTATGAGGATCCCAGACCATTAAAGATTTTAAAGGTTAACATTAACACCTTGAATTGGATCCAGAGACTAATTGGTAGCCAGTGCAGCTGCTACAGAATTAAAGTAATATGAGCTGACTGTGAGGTTCTGGGCAGCAACCCGGCAGCTGCATTCTGGACCACCTGCAGTTTAGACATCCAAGATGTTTTCAGCAACAGGAAAGCTCTTAGAAGGCTGTTACAGCTAGCAAAATTAATCCTCAATTGTCAAGGATGTATTGTGAGAAAACATTGTGCTTTAGCACAAATCATTGTAACAATTGATATAGGTAAACTCGGATAGTACTGCTTGAGTTAAAATGTTATTAAAGATAAGTAGATTGATACAACTTTGCTTTCTGTTCTTTCCTAAATAAAATTTTTATTCTCACCATCAAAATCTTCTACAAACGTTTTTCCCCCATGGTGGTACAGTTTTGCTAAGTGGCTAAAACCAGCCAGGCATTTCCTACAGGAACACCTGCCATTTTGTGACTCTTCCATCACTACAATCCTACCTGCTACAGTGTAGGAATGCATATCTCCCATTATCTATTTTTAGAAATGTCTCTGTGCTACCTAGGCCCTGCAAGCAAGGCTAAGCACTGCAGTGGACACATGATATTGTGCCATTGATACATGCTTGTGTACCCTGAAAGGCCCCAGATGACCTATTTTTACTGTAACTAAAACTAGTCTCCCTTATAAATAAAAGCCGAATGGTGATGGCACTTCTCTAGAACATTCCACATGCTCCAAAATCAGTTCGCTCTCTGATCTGTCATTCAGAGGGTCTCCCTATCCACTGGCTGCTTTGCCTGAGTCCTGCCTCCAACATTCTAAGCAGTTTGCTCTTCCTCTCCCCCCCACAGCCAGTCAGAACACAGAGGTTATTTGCATATGCAGCCTCATTGGCCTTTGCCTCGGAACACAGAGGTCGTTTGCATATGTGACTTGATTGGCTTTTGTCTCTAACATTCTAAACAGTTTGCTCTTCTGAAGTAAAATGTGTCCAATCTCCAGGTGAGGGCTGGAGATCACTCAGAATTCCAACTGCTTTCCAGATGGCAGAGATCAGTTCCCCTGGAGAAAATGGTGGGCTCTGTATCCTTATATGCTGCTGAGGTGGCCCCCGTATGACAGCCAATGTGACGTAGCAGTCAGGGCTTCAGAGCACGGGAGAGGCTGCAGGTGTGTGGGGGGTGGAAAGCTGAAGAGTGAGGGGGAAATAAAGGTAGGTTGATGATTGGTTGGGAAGGAGATAGGGTTGCCAACTCCAGGTGGGAAATTCCTGGAGATGTGAGGGATGGAGCCTGGAGAGGGTGAGGTTTCAGGAGGCGTGGGACCTGGGACAGGTACAAAGCCATAGACTCCACCCTCCAAACCAACTATTCCCTTCTGGGGAACCATCGTTGCCAATCTCCAGGTGAGGACTGGAGATCACTCAAAATTACAACTATTCTTTAGGTAGCAGAGATCAGTTCCTCTGGAGAAAATGGTGGACTCAGTGTCATTATACCCTGCTGAGGTCGCCACAGCAAATTGACACTGCGTGTCCAAGGCCGGGGCACCCGCACAGAGCCTCTTTCTAGAGGCCGTTGTATTTATTTCCACAACGGGCCTTTTTCTTAGTAGTAAATAAATGTGAATGACATATCTCATTGACACACTCCATTGACATTTAACATATAGTGATGCTGGTTTCTTTTCTAGTTAATTTTGAGATACTGCAAACATTTATTTGAAATAAATTTTTAATATTACAAGCCAAATTTATCTCTATTGTGCCTCTATGAAGGTTAATGAAGTATGCATATAGCCCATTATCTTTAATGTAGACGCTGTGTAACTGAAAACAATTGCCTGTCATTATTATTACTTTCCTAGGCTGTATGGGCATGAAAGGGAAGCAAACACATATTTATTTGAAATAAGTTAATATGGTTAGCTTTGCTTTCTTTGTATCAATGGGATTATTTATTTTTAAAAAACAATCTGATTCTAAAAGCAGGTGGTCATCTCCCAAGTCAGTACTTGTCAAGCTTTGTACCCTCAGGGAGCCTTTTCTGCACTGATTTACTGCTGTGGAACCTCAATATATTTGACACAGAATGCCAGTTTGTTCCATATGATGATGACGTGTATTTTCGGATATCACTAAGTCAGGGGTTCTCAGTGTGGTGCCTGTGGATGCTGTGCCCACCCGCACCTTTTCTGGCACCCACCAAGTGCTTTTGGGAAGTGGGCAGGACATGGGGCATTTGCCCATCAAGGTTTATGATGGGCCATTGGAGATCTGATTGGCTGAGCAGGTTTTTGAAAACATTGCTTTAGCAGCAGTTGCCATCACAGCACAAGAATATTCTCTGTGTGATTGAATATAAGCTGTGCCAGCCATTTGGTGGCTTGTTCCACCTCCAACGGCACCTATTTTATGGCAGCCATTTTGTGGTTGCGTCCACAACATAGTGTCAGAATTCCAAAGGTTCTTACAGGCTCAAAAAGGTTGGGGCCCTCTGCACTAGGTGATGGTCAGTCTCATAGAACCTCATTATTGCTCCACATGAACTGAGAATGAATGCTGGGAAGTGCACTATACTCCCCTGCAGGGGAAAATTGATAGGGTATTCAGAGACATAGTCAATATGTCATTCTCATCTAAGTTTGGTGTAATGGTTAAGTGTGCGTACTCTAATCTGGGAGAACCATGTTTGATTCCCCACTCCTCCATAGTTCTGTCAGAGCTGTTCTCTCAAGGACAGTTCTGGAAAGAGCTCTCTCAGTCCCACCTTCCTCACAGGGTGTCTGTTGTGAGGAGGGGAAGGGAAAGTAGTTTGTAAGCCGCTCTGAGACTCTGAATGAAGGGCGGGGTATAAATCCAGTCTCCTCCTCCTCCTCCTCCTCTCTAAGAACCTGTGAAGAAAGTAGCAGTAGCCAAAAGGCTTGAGAATAGGGCTCCTCCCCACAAAACCTCTTGGCTGTTGCTCTCTGGGACAAGACCAGAAAAGAGAATGCTAAAGCTGTCAATGGGGGTTGAGTGAGGAAGGGTTTGTTCTAACTTTGGCTTTTTTTCACCAGCAGGAAGCATGATGGGAGGGGGAAATGTTTAGCTGAATGTACATATAGCAGGCCAGGTCAGGGACAAGAGATGTGTACCATGGGGGAGCAAGGTAGAATGCACAGCTGCATTAGTATGGGTCAGCATTACAGTTCCTAGAAGCATATTCAGCTAAAATCATTTTGTCTTATGTGCACCAAACCTGGACAGACACAAAGTCTGACATGTGGCAAGACAGTTAACTTATGACCGTCTTTTTCAGCCACTATAGAGCAAAGTTGGTTGGATGGGATGGTATAACAAGATGAACCTGTGAATTTTATGTACTTTGTGTATTAGGTTAATTGCAGTAAGTAATGTTATGCTTTAGTGTAATTTTGATGAGAACAAAAAAAGAATAATTCCTGTTGTTATTCCCCCTCCCATTGTAGAAAAAATGTCCTTCATATTTGGGCACATTTTTTCGCTTGCGCAGTATTGGGCATCTACGAGCCTCTTTATCTGTCTTTCACTAGAGATTGTGAAGAAGATGTTTAAAGAAAATGGCATCCTTGCAGGAGATGACAGAGCTCTTAATCCTCACTTGACCTTCATGAAGCTGTCAAAATCCCCAAAACTTCGAAAACAGGTATGGTCACTTCATCTTTTACAATATCTGTATAAAGCGAATAAAAAACCAAAGGGAAATCCCTCGGTCGTCCTCTTTCTATAATTGGAGTAAGTCTACATAGCCATACTAGGTTTTAGCTTTTGCAGTGGTCAGATACAAGAAATACATATGTACTACAGAGAAGTTATATGTTCTTGTTTTGCTGTGTTTTGTTATGGTTTTGATTTATCTCTGAGCCATTTTATTTATTTGCTCTGGGGAACAGAGAACATATTTTATATCAAGAGTATAAAAGTAAGGGTAAGAACAAGGAAATGGAGTTCAATACTGTAGAGAACATACAAGACTTACTGGAGCATACAAGAGAATTTCAGAAGAGAATCATCTTGTGATTCATAGACTACAGCAAAGCGTTTGACCGTGTAGATCATGAAAAGCTACGGTTGATTTTAAAAGAAATGGGTGTACCATGGTATCTTATTATTTTGATGCACAACCTGTACTCCAAACAAGAGGTTACTGTTAGGACAGTATATGGAGAAACAGAATGCTTTCCAATTGGCAAAGGTGTCAGACAAGGATGTATTTTATCTCCCTATCTCTTCTAACTGTAAGGAGAACATATCATAAGGAAAACTGGATTAGATTTAGATGAAGATGTAGTGAAAACTGATGAAGGAACATCAACGATTTGAGATATGCAGATGACACCCCACGTTACTGGCAGAAAATAGTGACTACTGCTGAAGGTTGAAGCAGACAGTGCCAAAGCAGGATTACAGCAGAACTCAAGAAGACAAAAGTAATGACTACTGGGGAATTACACAACTTTAAGGTCTATGGGGTCATGAAGAGTTGGACTCGACTGTGCCACTGAACAACAACAAAACAAGGTTGATGATGAAGAAATTGAAATTGACTTTCTATTCCTTGGCTCCATCACCAACCAAAAGGGAGACTGCAACTAAGAAATCAGAAGGAGATTGAGACTGGAAAAGGCAGCCACAAAGGAGCTAGAAAAGATCCTTAAGTTTAAGGATGTGATGCTGGCAACCAAGATCAAATTAATTAATGCCATAATATTCCCTATTATTGTGTATGGGTGTGAAAGTTGGACAATAAAGAAAGCTGGCAGAAAGAAAGTTGATTCCTTTGAAATATGGTGTTGGAGAAGAGTTTTACAGATACTGTGGACTGCCAAAAGGACAAATCGGTGGATTCTAGATCAAACCATCCCTGAACTCCCCCTAGAAGCTAAAATGATCCAATTGAGGCTATCGTACTTATGGTCACATTATCAGAAGACAAGAGTACCTGGAAAAGACAATAATGCTAGGAAGAGTTGAAGGTAACAGGAAAAGAGGAGGACCTGACATGAGATGAATGGAGTCAATCAAGGAAAACACAGCACTCAGTTTGCAAGACCTGAGCAAGGCTGTTAGGACTTTTTGGAGGACATTAATTCTTAGGGTCATCATGAGTTGGAAGCGACTTGATAGCACATAACACACATACACATGAGCCAAATCTTGAGCAACTGGAGTTCCTTGAGTCTGAGGTGTGTTTCTTGGCCCATCCCAACTGCCGACTTAGAGACAAAAGAGGAAAGGAAGAGAACCCCTACTGCAATATAACTTGCTAAAATGCCACTTGAGGAGGTAGAGTAAAGGTTGTGGTCCCGATCTACTACACCTCTTTCGTTTTTCAGTGACCCCTCAGAGAAGCTCATTGGTTTCTATGTACAATGTAGAGATACATCCTAGAGTATCCATTTTGATGGCCTTTTAAGAGCCAAACTTGAAATTAAATTTTTCCATGAGTCAGGTATGGGTTCCCCCAACACAAAGCACACCGGGGGCCCAATGACTTCATTTGTAGGGTACACTGCATGTGGAGGCCTCCCCCCCAACAAATAATGCCGTCTGGCTGTTTCAGGTTAGAAAAACAGTGGGAGGGGGAAGCCCCTGCTATGCCACAGTACAGATTGGAAAGGGGTGCTTTGGGTGCTTGGTTTCCAGCTGCTGCCATCTGACTGTGACAGTATGACACTTGTACCTTGGGGACCCTGACTGGGCTTGTGGGAAAATGTGAAGTCTTATTTCTGCACAGAATGAATATATGTGTGCCAAAACCAGTCAATAGAATTTCACAGAAATATGTTTATTTGCATGTGCATGATGAGCTTTTATACCTTTCCTTCTAAGCCTCATAGAATAAACATGGGCATTTTCTTTTATTGGAGTTGATACATGCAACAGCTTTGCCTAATGTGCTTTCAAATGCTTGCACAGATTAAAGCCCATCTGTCAATATTTGTTTATTTAAAATGTTTCTGTGCCACCTTTCCACCATGTAAAGGGTACCAAAGCCTTGAATGCCATGAAAACAATTCTTTAAAAATGAAGTTTTGATGAACCATAGATGTAAGATCTATTTCATATGCACCTGAAAATAATTGTTCCGTTTTCCCTGCCATTAATTACAAAATGTAAATAGAAATTTTATGTAAGGGCCTAGTATGGAGAACTGCTTATGGCTAGAGCATAGGTTTCTGTAAACCTGGATCCCCCAGCCCGGATTTGCGAGAAATCTTTATTCCTGAATAGAGAAAAACACTTTGAGACAAAAAACCTCTAAAATTGTAGAAGCGCCTTCCGTATGTATGCAGATATTTTTGTGGGGTGGGGGTGGATAATGACATTCAGGTGGCATTTTGGGTTGGTGAAGGAAGCCAAGGTAGCTGTAGTCAGAAGGGAGGAGGCCTGGGATTCAGGGAGAGGAGAAAATAGGGGATGGAAAGATAATGGGCAGTGCAGGTGGGAAGGAGAGCTACCAAGGGTTTATCATCTATATACTAGTAGCCACATGTGGCCCCCACCTGTGGATAGCTAAATCCATGGATTGGGGGCCACACGAAAGCTAAACAAATTTTTCAGCAAACTTCGAGTTTTGTCAGGTTTGCAGAAAAATCTAAAAATTAAAAAAAATATATAGGGAGGTTTAAATCCCCTGAAAACACAGAGAATACACTTACCTCAGGTGGGCAGCAGCAGGACAGATGGGTTCTTATTCTGTTTACCTTGTTTGTTGTCAAAACTCTTTTGACAAAACCAATAAAAACATTATTTTTTAAAAAGTTTCCAATTTGATACTTTTAATAATAATATTATTCCCTACTGTCCTCCCCTTTTTTGCAGCTATGAAGCTGTCTTTCTGCCCATTTCTTTCCAGACCCAGCCTGTAGCCAGAAAATGTTTATTGGAGGGGCAAATGAGAACAGTGGGGGTCAGCCCATCATAATGTATTTACTTTATTATTTATATATTCATGCTTTATTAGTTATTTACCAGTTTTCTTCTTGAGACTCAAGGTGGATTACATGGCATAGACTATTGTAATCAAATAGCATATGAGATCTAATAAACAATGCAATGGGACTAGGCTTACAAAAATTACAAAAATGCAAAAAAAAAAAGTTATGCTATGTCCAGTAATGCAGAAAATGAAATTACAAAAAATGAAAACAATGCTGTAAAAGTGTGATAGAACATACAACAAATCAATAATATATAGCATACACTGTGGCATAGACTACAGTCCTGTTTTCTATAAGCTTTTTAAAAATGCCCTCCCAAGCAACTCCATTACATAGTTTGCAGAATTAAAGAAGTGTGAGAGTCTTCTTCCAAGACAGGTCCAAAAGAGTCACATACAGCTCTCAACTCAAAACAGTTCAACGCATCATCAGCGACTTACAACCTCTACTGCATAATGACAGCTCCCTTTCACATACTTGAAAAAATGAAATATGTAGCTTTCTGGTTCTCTTCTACTAGCCTAGCTGAAAAAAATCATGAGCACAGGAAAGCTGTAACAGTATAGGTAACTAAGGGATCACAAGCTTCTAGGTGTGTAAGAGAGAGGGTTGCCAGCTGTGGGTTGAGAAATACCTGGAGATTTTTGAGGTGGAGCTTGAGGGCGGGGTTTGGGGAGGGACCTCAGCAGGGGTACAATGCCATAGAGTCTGCTTTCCAACACAGCTATTTTCTCTGGGGAAACTGATCTTTATGTTCTGACCAAGGTCCATAAAGCATCACCATAAATACTAATTACACTTAAATTAATACCCAAAGCCTCATAATCCTATGGGAATCTATGGCAAGACTCTCATTCAAGTTACCATTTGGCAGTCAGTGTGAAGAATTTAATCTTTGTGCGGTCTGGCTAGCAGCTCTTGCTATGATCATCACTTTATAACTCTAAAATCATTCAGTGCAGTCACTATTTTAAATTCCATACTACAAAGTCTCAAACTCAGTGTAAACTAATAAAAATGCAGTTTCCATAGTGTCTGATGCTGCAGCTGGTGTAACCTATTATACAGACTCAGAAAGGCAATGGCAAACCACCTCTGCTTCTCACTTGCCTTGCAAGCCCTTAGCGGGGTACCTGTCCCCAGAAGTTGTCTGTGACTCCTCTCTCTCTCTTTCTCTCTCTCTGAGCACTCAGAGGCAGCCGGATGGGGTGGGGGCAAGGAGGAAAGGCTGGCTCGTCGGTCTCCCCTCAGGGAGGGGTGCCCTTTACCTGCTCGCCAGAGCCCCCGCACAAATGAGTCCCATGTCATCCTCGCCTTGGCTGAGGGGCGCGCCTGGCCATGCGCTCTACCTCTTGGGGATGGGCGGGAGGGCGTGAGGCACCTGGATTGGCTGCCGGGTCAGACGGCTGTGATGTTCCTGCTGCCACCACTTGCCGAGGAGGGCTGCCGGTCCCCGCAGTCAAAGCCAGAGCCACCACTGGAGGAAGGGGGAGGGGAAGAGCAGGGCTTTTGGTGAGGGAGGGGCGGGGTGGGCTCGGACGCCAGCCAGAACACTGTTTCAGGGCTTTCTGGCCCAAAAATTGTTCTGAGTATATCTTAATTGTCAACATGACCAGCTGTCTGGATACTTCAATCTGGAAACTGGACCCAATGGCAGAAAAAGCAGCTCTTTCGAGGTTAACCTCCAAATAATAAAACAGCACCTATAGCTTTAAGAAAAAGGGGTCCTCAGCAGTGTTCCCTCTAAGCTGAGTTAGTGTGAGCTAGCTCACAGTTTTATAGCCTCCGGCTCACACATTTTTGTCTTAGCTCGGGAAGGATGGCTCCAGAGCAAACTAATTTATGCAGCAGCCAAATTGCTTGCTCACAACTTTAATGCCAGTAGCTCACAAAGTAGAATTTTTGCTCACAAGACTCCAAAGCTTAGAGGGAACAAGGGTCCTCAGTGGCAGCCACAACAGTGTTGTCAGCCTTCAAGGGTTGCTTTCTGTTGGTAACAAGCAGGGTGGGAGAAGGCAGGTCCCTTTCATAGGGCCAGACCAAGCAGCAAGAACTGAGTGATTTGTTAATTGTTGTGGCTACTGTATGATGATGCCACACAACTTACCTGGGCCCAACAGCCTTAGCCAAGCCCAGCAGTGGCCATCACAAATTTCACATGAGTGAATTGCTACTGCACTACTTAGCCAGACTTTTCCCAGGGAGAGGCTGCTGCAGGGAGGGAAGGAGGGAAAATTGAGATCCAGTGTTGTGTAGTGATTAGAGAGTTAGAATAGAATCTAGGAGACCCAGTTTCATCCATCCAGCCATCAACATCCATCCATTCATTCCATTTCAAATCCCTACTCTGCCATGGATGCCTGCTGGGTGACTTTGGGCCAGTCACTCTCTGGCAGCCTAACCTACCTCACATGGTTGTTGTGAGGATAAAATGGAGGAGAAGAGAATGATGTAAGCCTCTTTGGGGGCCATTGGGAAGGAAAGGAGGTTAAATGAAGTAAATAATTACTAAAGCTGAATACTGGGGTTTGGGTAGATTAAGGAAAAATTGGTTGATAAGTGGGAAGAAGAAAGCAGGAGAAGGAGGAGAAAAAGAGAAAATCGTATAGGGAAGGAGGTACAGGGTAAAATAAAGTGACTCCTTTGAAGTCCTTACCTATCTTGTATAAAATGCTCAACCATTAATTTAATTTGTGTCCACCATTCCTGTGTTATATAAACCGCTCAAACACAAGCTTTGGAGGCTTTGGAGGCCATGGCTGGATGGTTACAGCAGAGCCGGTTGAAACGTAATCCTGTTTAGCCTCGACCAGAGCCAGGGCATTTTTTGCCCTGGCCCCAGCCTGGTGGAACATGCTCCCACCTAAAATCAGGGCCCTGTGGGATTTGTTATCTTTCCACAGAGCCAGCAAAATGGAGCTTTTCCACCAGGCCTTTGGCTGAGGCGGTGGGCATCCAATAAAATCTTGGTCTCCCCTGCTGAAGATGAACCTACCACCTCATGTGGCCCAGGTTAAGAAGAAGTTTGATGAACCAGTGACGCCAGCTGGAAACCTCTGCATAAGGATGAATAGTGCACTCAGTTTTAATTTATGTTGTTTTACATTGTCTTAATTGTCTACATTTATATCTTTGACATTTTGATATGTTTTGATATTATGCTGTGATCCTCCCTTGCGGGGAGGGCAGAATATAAATTTGAGTAATAAGGAAATATATATTAAAAATAAACAAATTATTAAATTAAATATGTGTTTTAAATTGCAGTTGTCCAGAATATTAATATTTGAAATGTCTCCATAAATGCTTTTAGCTTTGTTTTTCAAAATTTCCCAACAGTGCTTAGAAAACAGTCTTGACTTGTCTCCTGTATAATAATTTGCCCTTTTATGTTGCATAGCCTTTGTTCTGAAGCAAAATAAGTACACATAAGGCATCTAAAATTTTATAATTATATTTATTACGTTTTCAGATTATACCAACATTAATTTAGTTGAAAAAACTGTAGAGAAAGTTTATGAAGAACAGAATAACAAAAATGAGTAGAAATGGAACAACAAAGTATAACAACTCAGAAAGCCTCCTCATTTGAATAATGTTATTACATTGTTTTAATTTTGAATTAGATTGTTTTAATTATTATATTCATGTTTTGCTATTGATTTGATTTTAGGTATCCCTCGTATTCTTCCCTTTCAAAGAGTTTCACCAGCTCTCTTCTGCTGTTCCTATAGAACTTTCCCATTGCCTGGGTTTCCTTAGGATACAAGTCTAGCTGTACTGTTTCTTTCCTGGCTTGATATGTGGAAAACATCAAGATCTCAGTTAGAATACAAATACCATCAGGCATTGTTTTCTTACTGTTCTCCCCCTTTCCTCCCAAAAGAGACATCTAAGAGCATAGCGGTGCAGTCCTGAGTCAAGTTATTTTGCTTAGGACAACAGTGCAAGATTCTTCTGTTCCTCCTTGAGCTAGTTCAGAACCCTGGCTTTTCCCTCCCAGAAATGCAAACATCTAATGGTAGAACCAAGGGAAATTAACAAACTGAATGATATAAAGGAAGGAAGGGTCATGTCCCATGGAAATACTCCAGTTATGTGATAAAAATATCTCATTATAAACAGATATGTAGCAACAGTAACAGAAAAGGAACCAAGTTTTTTATACTCCTTAAATATTTGTGCTTTAAACATACACATAGTGAATATCAGATCAGAAAAACATGGAGTCTTATGTTTTTATTTGGGATGTGGTTTCTTTCTATGAATTGTTTGACATTTTATAACAGATGTGCAGGTGGCTCATCAGGGCTATAGTAAATTCCCTGGTTTGGCAACATGCTAGGTAGTGAAATAACAGGGAGAAGTGGGATGTCAAACACCTGAGAGGCCACAATATAAGGCTAGTGGACTGTATTCAACTTGGTGGATCACAAGTTGCATAAGTCCGATTGACATCTGTAGAAGAATTCACTTGAGAGCAGAGCAGTGTTTCTTTCTAATGTGATTACTAGCGTAACACAAACTTCTTTCTTTCTGTGTGGCAATTCAATACATTCATTATCTTCTTAATAGGTTAAAGAATGGAAGATGCAGATGTCAGCACCTCTTGATTCATAAACTCCTTTAAATCCAGTTGGGGGTCATCAAGATCTAGGGAAAGGAATTTATCCACTAGAGATTTGCAACTTTCCAACTGTTTCTCTTTAGAAGAATGGTCGGTACGTTTGATAGGCTTTCCATTGCGGAGCAGCTCTGATACTTCTACTCCTCGGGCAATCACTTTAGGAGGCATGCCAGCCAAAGCTGCAATATTGGCTGCATGGCTGACAGTGGAGACACCTTCTTTGATCTGATAAAAAAACACAAGCTCATCTCCATCTTGGTGGGTGTCCATGGTCAGGTATTGCACTTGGGAAGCGTCTGGCAGAAGCCTCAGCTGTATCAAGCTGTGGAAATTAGTGGCAACAAAAATGTGTGGACACTGGGTTGCTTGTCTGATCCAATACCTTAGCACCGCAGCCAGAAGAGAGAGGCCATCCACTGTGTTTGTACCTTTGCCAAATTCATCTATGAGCACCAAGGACCTTTCAGTGGCATTGTTCACGGCCTTGGCTATTTGGTTAAGATCAATCATGAAAGTGGACAGTCCAAGAGATACTGACTCTCTACTGTGGATCCTTGTGTAGATTCCGTCCACTGTCCCTATCTCAGCCTCAGCAGCAGGGACATAGCTGCCAATCAGAGCCATAAATGTGATGAGGCCTACCTGTTTTAAATATATACTCTTTCCAGATGAATTGGGCCCAGTAAGGATCTTGATCCGGCCAGAGGTTTCAGTGCTGTCCACTGAATTGGGAACAAAAGTTTTTGCACACAGCTCCATAAGTGGATGCCTTCCATCTTTAATACGGATGATCTGAGAGTGAGAAAAATGAGGTCGGGTATATCCATTCTCTCGAGCCATCACTGTCAAGGACAGGAGCACATCCAGCTGTGCTATGCATTCAATCACATCGTTAAGAACAGCTGACTTTTCCAGTATCTTAGTCTGTAGCTGGTACATGAGTAGTGTTTCCTGATCTCTTATTTCACAATGCAGGTCACCAAGCATGCTGTCCAGTTCTTTGGTCCTGGCGCTTCTGTAGTGCAACTTTTCCTCTGATAAGAACATGAAATCTAGACCCTCAATCTCAAAGTCAGTCTTATCCACCATTGTGGGCAGCTGTGGAATGGAGAGCAAGAATCCTAACAAGGGGATATAAATAACACTACAAGATGGAATCTGATTATCTAGGTCCTGCAGTTCTTTTCGGGCCACGTCAGTGAGGAAGTCTGAGAGCCCCATTAGCTTCCGTTTCTTTTCATCAATGATGGGATCTACATTTGGTCTGACAGTGAAGTGATTTTCTGAGATGCTAGCTTCAAAATCCACCACTTTGCTGATTAGACTGGCAATGTAGTGCAAATCGTCAGTGAAGACCTGAGAAATAGTCTGGAAAAGTTCAATGATGCTGGGCAAGGAGCGACATGTATCTCTGAGGCATATGGCGCTATAAACAGTTTTGTACAGTGCCTGCCAGTCACTTACCTTTGTATTTGAAAGAGCCATTCTTCTAAGAATCATAGGTACATTTTTAATATTTTTGAGGCACTCTTGTAAGGTCAGAACTGTTTCATGATTCCGAGCTAACAAGAAGAACTGGATTACATCAAGACGTTTGTTCAGCTCTGTCACATTGCGGGTGGGCCTCATCAGCCAGAGTCTCATCAGCTTTTCTCCCCACTTGCACCTACAGTGGTTCAGAATTCCATATAAACTGAGTCCTTCTTTTTTCCCACTAGCATGCTTATAGACAGAAGGATGAACCTCACTTTTAAATACCTGCAGCACGCTGTAAGTGTCTTGATCCACATGTATAGTATCTGTCAATACAAACTTTTTAAATGCCAGAACGGGAACTCCAACACTGCTATCTTCCAGTTCAACTCCAACCCTTCTCCTTTCAATAAACTTTAACAGTCCTCCTAATGCTCGTATGATCAGTGGGCTCTCAAAAGGTATAATGGAGGACAAATAGACGATTTTCTCAGCTGCCGTCATGTGAGAGGGAATGAAGGGGAATTGCTTAGACAGAATCCTTTGCTTGCTTACTTCTAAACAAAAATCCGTATTTGGATAGTAGACAACTTCTGTTTTTCCTCCTTCCTGCTTGTCTCCTACCATGGCACTTATATTGTTTAAGAATTTGGCTAAGGTATAATCTTGCTTAGCACTACTTAATATGCATTGGGGAAGTACTTCATCAATTACTTTTTGAAGGAGTTTAAGGTCTTCACTGTCTGGTGTGTCAGCCATGAAGTAGATTGAGCAGTCTCCAGTGTCATAATAAGTTATTCCCAGGTCTCCAGCAAACCACAGTACACACATGTAGATCTCAGACTGCCCTTGTTCCTCTTCATATTCAGAGAGAGGCATTGGTGGAGGCTGGCAGTGGGTGGCAACCGTAGCTCTGGCACTCATTTTTTTGACAGCTCTGTGTTGTATGGCTGTGTGAACAAGAATATTTTGTTAGTACTTCATCCTGCGATACCTCTTTCCTTACACATAATTGCCCTCTCCTGGGTTAGTCATTTTCTCTCTCCACATCAATGTCATTTCATTAGGTATCCATTCATTCTATAGATTATAGTAGAATTGTATTACTATATGGATTCTCCTCTCACCTTCTCTATATTGCTGCACAGTTTCCCAATCCTTTGAGGGGGGAAATATGTAGACAGCCTGTTTCTAACAGGAACTGAGTATATCTGGTTATTAGTAACAAAGGCAAAACTTCAATTGGAAGCAAATCTACTTCAACTAGAACTTGTCTTGTTTTAAGACAGCTGAGATTTTTACATCCATTGAACTTTTTATGCCACTTGAATTCCTTCTCATACTGATAGCTTATAGTTTTGCTAATATCACAAAAACACATCTTAAATAAAAATTATAAAAGTAACAATTACACAATTAACTCTTTTCAACATTCTGTGCTTTCTTTGTATAGTTCATGTGTGAGAGGTAAGATTGTATAAAAAAGGGAATGGTGTGTATACATATTTGTATAAAGAGCAATTATATCTATTCACTGATATATCTCCCAGTGGTGGGTGATAAGCACTGATATCTCAGAATATTCCCTCTCCCATTCTTCCTTCTTTGCTACCTACACTGTGGAAAGCAGCTGCCCTAGCCAATAAAAATAATTTTGAACAACTTTAGAAAAGGGAATGCTTCCAGAGAATCAGAAGGGCAATTGTACTGCATAATTCAAGACGGAAACTAATATTCACCAAAATTAAATGGGTCTTCTCTGAAGATGACACTTGTCAAGGAATCCCAAAACAAACTCCGTGGGTCCCCAGGGGAGTTGTGCACAAGTAACCAGACTGTTGTTTAATTTTTAAAAGGATTTATAAAGTTTATTTCAATTTCTATCAATATGAAAATTTATTCTGTAGCCAATACATTACTCTAAAATCATGCAGCAGGAAAACAAGAAAACTAGCTTAACTACCTAACACTGTTTAGAATTTGCTATAAAAATTGATATATTTTTCATAACAAGGGGATAGGATCAGATTTCTGTATTGCTAATATCACCAGGTATATTATCCCTAAAGGTAATTAAAGCAGCTTTTAAAAAACAGCTTCAGAAATTAAATTAAATCTGTGGAATATTGAGTTGGACATTAATATGAAACCATATGCTAGAAATTTTAGGTAATGTTTATTTAAAATATTTATGAACCACCTTTACTCAAGTTGTGGGCCCAAGTTGGTGTAGAAGACACACTTCAGCATGGAGATTATTAAAAACACAAACCATAAAGCACATTGTCCCACTATGATAAAACACATCAATCCAAATCAAACAGCCACAGCATGGTAATAAAATTAACAGCAAGCCCTTAACAGCTTTACATGCCTTCCTAAATATGGGTAAGGATGAAGAACTTCTCACATCTACTGAAAACCTGTCTTAGAGCGTTGGAGCCAGCACTGATGAAGCCCTGGGACAGGCTACCACAGACTGAACCTCCCTGTGGAAGGGAACAAAAAAAAAGTTGGTGAGAAGAACATAGTTGAACACAAACTACTGTTACACCTATGATGTGCTCTGTGTGAAAAGCTAGTCATCTATGAGAATCATAGACCAGTGCTAGAGGAAAAAAACTTAATCCTACTTTTTAAACTCCCAAAATTATGTTTCTGAATCATTCCTTACTGAGAATTGGATACTTTTATTAAACTTATTTTACTGCCCTGTTCTCTAGTACTGAATAGTTAACATAATTAAACAGAATATACTTGGCTATAGGTTGCAGTAAGGTAGGGCCAAGGGCTAAAATGAAAACTTCGCTGTTGCAGTATATTAACTGTTGTGCAGGGTTTCTTTAGAATTGTCACCATTCTAGAATGTATATATATTATTTTAAATTTATTTAGTGCTTTTCTAGTTGTGTCCTTAGACTTATCCAAATATTGGACTGAATCTTATGACTTCCTTATACTAAGTAAGAAAGCTTCCTCCGACAGAGGAAGGCTTATCACTTAGCAAAAAGCAAATGTAGGATCCAAATCCACGATTATTACCAATCACATTAGAAATACAGATAAAAGATACATTGTCAGTTGCAGAAGAAGATCTTCCCATAACTTAGCCTTCCTACAATAGCCCTGGTGACACTCTCCCCTCCGAAGCCATGAGGCCAGGGATTAGGGAACCTGGATGGATGGCTTTATGGCACAAGGGGGTAGTTATTATATGGAATCAAGACATCTGTTCACTTGTCTGCCAGCTCTGCCTCTGCTGGTAGAAGAGACTTGACTGGTGGTGGTGGTGGGGGAGTTGATTTAATCCAACTCCTCATCCTCACAGTGCTGCATGTCTTTTTATTCTCAATGGTCCTCTGAATCAGAGCAGTGCTTCTTGGGAGATCTGAAGGTGGGGAATGTCAACTTCTGTAAGCACCTTTTAAGAAAAGTTTTTATTGACAAGTTGTCACTCACTTTAACTGCAGACTTAATGATCAAGTACCTATAATGAAAGCAGCAAAAGGCGCAACCTAAATCCAAGGTCAGTGTTTTGCATACTTAGAGGACCCCAGGTGTGCAGAAAACTATTGCTTTGTCCAGGGGTCATTTCGTAGAAAAAGAGGTGCAGGAGCTCATTAGCATAACTCATTAGCATAACTTATTTTCATATGCCACACCCTCTGACATCACCGGAAGTGTGTCAGAAGGCAACATCCACCGCTCAAACTCCACCCAAAAACTCTCCAGGTATTTCCCAACTCAGAGCTGGTGAGCCAGCTTTACACTTTGACTAAAGACACTTTAGGTTTCCTTTGCTCTTGCAGGGAAGCTACCCTACAAGAAGCATAAAAATACAGATCAAGTTAGTACGCTTTTTCTTTTTCTGCAATAAATCAGGAAAACAAAATATTATTCTGGCAACAACATGCCTGGGAGAGATATTAACTGAAAGGGCAATGTTTATAGCAGTCTTGAGGAGCATGCGTTCTATTGCACCTTCACACACATTAAGACCAGACAAGGTATAATCCCAAACAGGCATCACACCAGCAGCCATGTACACAATGCTGCCCATGTTTGCCATCTACCATAAACACATCAAGGCAAGCTATAGCAGGGATAGCCCTACAGTAAGATCAGGTGAGACATGATCTGCCTTAATTGGGTGTTATTAAAGATTGGGGAGGGAAAGCAACAGATTTGTTCCAGGGGGCCCAACACACTGGGAAATTCTCTTACTCAAAACTCAAACAGAGCAAGTGGGAGACATGCAAGACATCAACTTCCAAAGAGTCATGATACCGGACAGCTTCCCAACAGCTCACACCTCATGCCATTTTTTTGGTCTGAATTTCTTAACACAGCTTGGGTCAGCCCTGAACTAAAATCCAAATACTGACACTAAATACCAGT